TTTTGATGGCATTTTGATATGTTCAGACTCACCTGAGCATGTCCTTCTTTGTACAGCTTTGGCAACAAGCTCACCATGACACAGGCAGCGCCTGGATGTACAATGATGCAGTCTCTCATTTCCAACCTGCAGTAAAAATACACATCATAATTATCATTAACAGCAAAGAGGTTCTAACAATGTTCCAGAAGAGCATACCATTAAATCCTCCTAGTAGCAACCAGGCTCAGCTTTGGAAACTAAGCAAACAATACAAATGACCTGGAACAGCCAGATGCCTCCTTAGAGTAAGAAAGACAGGACAGCACCTTCTCATGAGCTGACATTTCAAGGACCTGCACATTCAAAGATATGTAGCAGCCTCTTTAAACAAATTTTGCCTTTGAAGATATTTGCAGAACATAAAACAGACAATCAGAGGAATCACTGATGCATCAGTCCACAACCCATGTTATCCTTTTATTTTTTAGAAATTTATATCTTGGATTGTACAATAACTTTAGTACTTTAAAACATAATTGAAATAAGCAAAAGTGAGACAATTGATAAAATCAGTATGCCACTCTAGCCCTAATGCCATACACCAGAATTTGCCTAAAGTAGTAAACTCAAGGTGGATATCAGCTTTCCCACAAGTTTTCATTTTTGCCACTTAGGACCTTTTTAAATCCAGGCACAGGAAGGAACTGAGGATCAGACATCATAGAGAAGATCTGCTAATGCCATGATGCAGGCGAGAGGTCAGATATATCTTGAAAATGAACAGACAGCATAGCAAAAACTCTAGTTTAGGCACTACAGTGTCATCCTGTTCAGAGTATAATCAGCATTTCTGGGTGCACCTCTAGAGCTGTGATATGCACTGTCAGAAACCTCTGTCCCAGGCAGATCTCACAAGAATAGCAAAGATTGCAGCAAAAATGGCTGTAATCAGACTGACAAAATAAAACACAGTATGCTTTATGAACTCTATAAAAAACAAGTATAAGCAAAAAAAAAAAAAAATCAAGGGATGTAAAGGAGTGTTAAAAGGCTGCAATTAAACATGTTTGTTAGCCACTCCCAAAAAGTCTCATCTGATACAGCAGAGCAAGGAGTAAGTAATGTGTAGCACACTGCCACACAGTGACAAATAATTTTTACTGCACCCTCAGGAAAGATAATTTCAAATAAATTGTTCATTTCCTTTATTTTCTGTGCAATAAATCAAAAATCAGGTCTGGTGTAAAGAGTTGTTGCAGCAGTAGTTTCAGTGTGGATAAATACACCTGTACTTTACATGAATGTGGGCAACTTTCTAAATGTCAAAGAAAAAAGTGCACTGAAAATATGTTCTCCTCCCATCTCCCTGAGAAAATCCATACCATTTTAAAAGAGAAAAATCTAGGATCACTAAAATCAATAGGGATGAAATCATGGTTGGAAATCTGCCTGGCTGGAAACAAACCTGGCATGCTGGCCCCATGCCAAGGTGAACATGAGCCAGTGTGCCCAGGTGGCCAACAAGGCCTGCATCAACAGTAGTGTGGTGAGCAGGACCAGAGTAGTGATTCCTCCCCTGTATTTGGCACTGGTGAGGCCACACCTCGAGTGCTGTGTTCAGTTCTGGGCCTCTCACTACAAGGACATTGGGGTACTGGAGTGTGTGCAGAGAAGGGCCAAAAGGCTCATTAACGGTTCTTAAGAATATTATACAAGCCTTACCTCCAGCCTTCTCTAAGGTCCTCATTTTATGGTCTGTCTTAGTACAGAAGCTGTGTTCCTGTGCCAACTCCTCACCTCTGCAAGTACCCCATCTCTCACACCCCTGCCCCAGGGCTATCCAATCAGCCCCGTGATTCCACTCCATACATCTCACCAATATCATGGTGTGAATCGCAGATCTGCTCTGCACTGATGATACTTAAAAATAAGACACATAAGAGGTTTTGGGGACAAATTGAGATGTCACAAAGAGCCTGAAGAGCCATTAGCACAGTGAGCTGTCTGTGGTAACAGCAGCTGCAGCAGCTATGCTGCTTGGGTGGGTATAAAGAAGGGCTTCCCCCCCAAGGAGATCACCCTCAGTTAGCACAGCTTGCAGCAAACTATGTCTAAGCACCAGGAACAAAAGGCAAACCAGAGACCCCATCTGTCACTAAAGGCATTTAAATATTACTGCAGGAGCAGGAACACAGAGGGCTGGTTTTAAAATGGGAAAAACAAGGTCAATGCTCCTGTGTCCCAGAAGCTTGCAGCATCACTGACCACAGGACAGTGGAAGGGGCTAGATTGTTATCCAGCATTAAAATGTTAACTTCCCTGTGTATTAGACACAGGCTCCTGCAGGATCACCTCCTTTCTCTGCCTCCTTGAGAATACTAAATATATGTTGCAAGACGGGGCATCACAGGCCACCTACACTGACTGCATTCAAGTTCCTCCTTTCAAGCTGCATAGCTGCTGCCTGAAACCTTTTCAAGGGGAAGTGTGAGTGTGGAGTACAGCTAAGAGGAAGCTGCATTAGAGGAACAACAGGCTTGCAGAAACTATGGGATTTCTTATTTTTATTTTCATAAAACTTACTGGTGGTAATGGATACAGCAACCTTCTTTTAAGACTCCATTCCTACTTCCACTTTTCTGTATGGCTTGAAGATTGTCAGCTTTCCAGTACATATTCCTCTTTTTCGTTTGCATACACTTGTCATGGACAGTTTCCAACCACCCCTAGCTAATCTGGTTTCCTTTTGTGCCTTCACATCCCAGAACCAATACAAACAATCCCAAATCAGACACTGTAAACTGAAAGGGTCACAGTTTACAGGATTAGTATCTCCACAAGTGGTATTCAGTTACTGTACAGCATCACATCTCAGCAGGTGAAACAACACAAGGACACAGGAAACCTTGCTTCTTTCAGACCTAGTGACTTCAGAAAGACAACCATAAAACAGAACCATACCCCTCCCAGCATTGCAACAACCTTCTCTTTCTCCCTTAACATCCGTGGGCCTCTCTTATGCACACACTTAAGCAACAGACAATATACTTGTCACAACTACCACCATCTATATACTCTTTGCACATGGACCCATGTTCTCCCAAATCAGACTAGAAAGATCTGCTTGGAAAAGAGCGTTTATTCCTCCTGAGCTCCCAAGTCCTCTCCCCAGCACTGAGTATCTAACCAGACACTTCCAGTGTAATTTAAAGAGCAGTGACAGGGAACAAACATGTCCATAACTACTTTAAAATCTGCTGCATAGGGAACAAAAATCTACCACACTTTTTTTACTTGCTTCAAACAATTATAAATACCACCAGAAATGCTTATTCAGCCTGCCTCAGTACTCAGAAAAGAGTTCTGCTGACTTCAGTGACTGATGCTACGAGTGACAGACATCATGTCTTGGCCTTTAACTTGGGAGATGACTTGGCAATAATCAACAGCAAGGGCTGAAGAAATCTCACACTTACCAACTTAGTCTTTTTAAGCATAACTCCAACCAGCAACATAAATTTGATAAAACGACTGAGATTAAAGATAAAGCTAGAGAAAAGACAGGAAAATCTCATGAGTTACAAAATGCAGATGATTCAGAATTGGTTCACAGCTGGCAGCTATATTGATTTCTGGTATAGTAATCCCTTCCTACAAAGGGTATATATTTGGACATAAACCTTCATACACTGGGGTAAGCAGTATGACTATTTTTTCCCAATTTTCTCTATTTCAGAATGAATAAATGAGAGTGTGTCTGCATATGTGCTTGGACACACATTCATGAGGAAGCATTTAAAATACCTTAGAGTAAATTTTATTTTTAATATATCAAGTGACTGGAAGCAGATCTCCACATAACTGAAAAAAACAAAATTGACCAGGGCAGGTTCAAACAGTGACTAAGCACAAGCTTTAAGTTCCAGCAACCTTCTTTTGAGACTCCGTTCCTGCTTCCACTTGGCAGGTGTCAGAATTTTCAACGAACTGCAACTCAGGGCTGTGTGTCCCACTGCTGCACTAAATCCTTATATCCCAATTTTCCCATCATTTACCTTTCCAAAAGCATTTCTGCTGCCTGCAGGTCTGTGAGCTGGGATTGAAAAGATTTGTTTCCCTTTGGCAGGTTATATCACACCTTACCTCGGTTTATTACCATATAAAATGCACATACCAGCCTTAAGTACTCTATTTCTTGTAGTAAATAAAAGCTTACTTCTCTTCAGGGTTTTCCCATAGCATGTAGGCAGAGGCAGGTAATTTATTGCCTGGTCTTTTGAAAGCAACAGGATGCTCTTCTTGAGCTTGGGATGCCTCCTGATCATCTCTTGAGTCTTTTCCCATCTCTGGCTTCCTCTCCTTAAAGTAGCTTTCCTGATGGAGGGTTCCTTTGACCATATGATCAAGAAAATTCAGAATCCAAATGCAGTTTTTTAGCCATGCTGGAAAGGGCTCTGAAGAACAGAATGCTGCACCCAAGAATTCTGCAAATGTCCTTTTCTTCTCAAGGGTCACAGGAATTTGCCTTTCCCCTTCTGTCCAGAAGCATCCAAGTGATCCGAGATCCTCTGCCATCTTTGCAAAGAGACCATTCTTCTGGAAGAAGCTGCTGTTGACAGGGTCTAGGTGCAGGGCTGCAGTTATCCCCTGAAGAGTGCAGAAAACCAGCTCCAAGATACAATTCTGTCCAACTTCTGCCCACTGCCCAGAAGGAGGGTCCTGCAATGCACCTTCCATGTCTGAGAGGAGGGACAGGAGCCCATTGAATCCACTGCAGGTTCTGAAAGCTGAATGGCTCTTGGGACTCTCCAGTATCCTCAAGAGCGACTATGAACATTGGGAAGAAAGGAAACAAAAGAAACACTTAAATCAAGGAGCCAAGAAGCTTGAGAATATTTTAAAATTATGAGTTTGTACAAAAAGCCTTTCACTGAAATTTCATTCTTTGAGGGGGGAGGGGAAGGTGGTCAAAATAATGGTCTCAGTGCACAACTTATCCCTTCCCCCATATGCCAAATTAATCATACAACCAATACTTAAATGCATGCTTAGGAGCCACTAAAGCAGTCAGCCTAACAGGCACAGAACAGGAGGAACAAAGAAATCAAATCTCCTGTCTTCTCAGACTCTCTCAAGAAACCTGCCTTTGCCCTCAACAAACAGCAGTAAAGATTCTGTTGTAAATACCCTCATATGGAAGCTGGCAGGAAGACACAGCTCTCTACAGACAAGTCTTCCTGCAGTCCTGAATGCACATGAGAACCCACATTAGACTTTTCCTCATATGACTGACAAGGCCCTTTCCAAAAAACCCTGTGACACAGGATAGCACAAAGAATATTGCAAATAGAAGGCTCTCCTCATTAAGAAAGACAAAAATACCTTTTCTCAGTTGAGGCATTTCTAAAGTTTGCACAACACCTTAGAGGAAAAAAGCCATTAAAAGTTAGAACTTAAGTCAATGAAGTCACTAGATTTTATCTGACTTCAACAGGCTTAAAGCAGGTTATAAATGAATGCCACTTGACAATATTGCACATAAAAACAACTTAAACTATTTGCCAATTTTGAATGCTATGGGCTTGCCATTCTAAAACAAATCTGGAAAAGTTATTAAGAGCTGTGGAAGTAATATTGGTGGGAAAAAGGAGCTTGCAAGGAAACAGTCTACTGCATTTGAATATAATTGATCCCAAGTTTTTGGGATGTTGCACAATTCATTTTGTACAGGGACTTTTCAAATTTGATATGTACCTTTGCACATTGGAAAGGGTTAATTTTATATATATATCTTCCCAAGAGATATCCAATGAAAGAGCTTTACTTGACAACCTCCTGAGAAGGAACAGTTTTTAACAGAAATATATCTGCCTGTAACAGGATCTAGGACTGTGAGAAAGGGTTGCCAGAACGGAAGGGGGAGGGGACACTATTACTGTCATTCAATTTTGTATGATAATGTATCAAACCAGGCAGAAACTTCTGAACAGGGAATAAATTTAATAACTTAGAGCTGAAGTTATCAGGATAGCTTTAACACATTCCAGAGTAGGTCAACAGTAAACACATTTCCTCCAGCTTTAACTCAGTTAGAATTTAATCGCCTATGAGTTAGTATTCCTCTGTCTTGAATCTATAAAACTGATGTCTACTGGAAACCCCCTAACTCAGTTACTGCTAATAGAATTTATTTCACACATTCCATTATTTGTTATTCCTCATAATTGTCCACGTGCCACACTGGAATATGGCAGTACTAATTGCATTTGGGCTCAGGCTCTAACAGCTAAATATACATTAGCAAATCAATCTGAATTTGTGTGTAACACAATCACTGCCCCAATGGATAAAGAAAATAAATTCATTTGCTTACATTAAGCTTTAATACAGTAATCATTTGTCAAAATTAGACACTGAAGTCGCATTTATTTTCATATTAGTTTGGACACCATTCTCAAGTTTTCCACAGATATTGTTAAAGTTTACTGCTTCAAATCAAAGCTACAAACTTTGTCCTTTATTTTTTTTTTTTCCAGAACATGGTTCTTTTATTATACAAGCAGTTGTTATATTATACAGGAAAGTGAATTCCAGTCACACTTGACAGAGAAAGTAGAAAGAAATTTTAAAATCAGTGCTGCTTTTCAGCTGGATGCCTAGGACCTAAACCAAAAGAAAGCACAGTGATTCTTTCCTCTGTTTCATTGCTCAGGGATCAGACATCTAGGGTCAGTGGAGACTATGACTTGGTTCTAGTTTCTTCCTCCAAACAGTCATAAAATTATTCCTTTCCATTGCCTCATCTCTTTTTACATGATGTTCATGTTTGTGAGAAATGACTAAATTAAGGACAGCAAAGTGTCAACCTTGGAAACTTATCAGAATGAAACTGTTCATCTCATGCCTACCACCCTTGCTCTTCCAATCTCACTGCTTCACATCTTACATCCTCTCTCCACATACCCACTTTCATTCATATTTGTTTCTCCTTTCTCTGTCACATGATATAGAACTGCTTATACAACCATGCCTTCAGCATTTCCATTTGTCCCTCTTGCATTATTAAATCTTCAAAATACTTCATAATCTGATACTGGAATGAAGGTATTGACCACACATGCATTGCTAAAATCAAAGTGCCCAAGTTTCCATAATCTAGAGATGGCTTATGGCTCCTTCTTCTGCTCTTACCATCTTGAAAAAAGGCACTTCCCAAGAAAACAATGCCTAAGTGAGAGCCACATTAATTACCTTCAGAAGATCTAATTTCAGATGCAGTTCCCATTGAGTGGAAGAACACAGAGCCCCAATAATAATGCTCATATATTCTTCATAATTGATGACTGATAACTGCTCCAAGATGCTGAGAGTAGCACTCCTGTAGCACTCATCATCCAAAAATATCTTGATATATGGTACCATTCCATAGTCCTTCAGAACAACTAGGGACAAATACATTATCATTTGTTAGTTAAACTGTCCTTTGCTAGTAGTTTTTACAGGCAGATTATCGGTGTTAATGTGAAGTGACACATTTCTACAAATACAGCAGGACAGGTAAGATGAGCAGCTGGTTAAGCTAAAGATGACACAAACTGAATGGCACAAGAACAACTAGGGATAAAATGACTGGATGACCATGATTTCCAATCATCAGAGATGACAGCTTTCCAATACAATAATGAATGAAAAGAAAAATACACCTTAGTTTCAGCTTAAGCATCTCTTTCATTTAGGAAGGGAGCTTTCTCATAGTTACACTGTGCAAGATGCTGCAAACATGATGATTGTAGGATTCCAGAGTGAATTCCAGTATTCAGTAATGTTCACTCCTGTACTACTATGTTTCCCAATATTCCCTACAGGCTTCTTAAGTATAACACAAATATAGGAGTGTTACACAGCATGTACCTGATCCAATCAAGATTTCAAATAACAGATATAATAGAAGAAAATCTGACCAAACAAACATTACACAAGAGTCAAGTACACTTATTTTTTTCCACAAGCTAAGCTAGTGCATCCTATATAAATACTTCAGGGTTATGCGTCTGGATGAAAAAAACCAGCGGACTATTGGGACAAAGCTCATTATGCAGGATGAGAACACTTTTGTCACATTTCTTCCTAGTGTAACACTGGTATCCCTACACTTCTAGCCTTTTTCCTCCATTTTTGACTGAAGCACAAAAGTCAAAATTTGTTGGTGCTCCTTAAGACCATGGCCACTTGCACCACCAAGTATCATGAAGGTAATGCAGTCATATCTATTTCCTTACCTGTGTTCCTCACAGACCTAGCTGTAAGGGCAGCCACCATCTTCAGCATCACAACATTTAATTCCTTCTCAGTGCCTTCTTTCAGGCCAGGCAGATGAGTTCCAGCTATCAGTATAATAAAGGTTATGTTACAATATACAAAAAACAGAAGGAAGAATTCCTAATTTTTCTTGCTCCAATCTTACACTTGCATTCTAGAGAGCCCCTAATTAAGACCTGTTTACAAGTGTGGGCTGTAGGGTGCCACCCAGAAAAATTCAACATACACTAGCAAAGAGAAGCCCAGAGCTGTTCAGGCTACTGAACAGAAAAATAATCAGAAAAGATTTCAGAGAGGACTCAGCTTATGTATCAAATTTAGGCCAGTTGGCCTGAAGACAAAATCTAGCTACTCAGTATAAAAAATAAATTTACTGCTGAGAGATTATTTATTCCTATTCATCTGCCTGCTTCAATAGTCATTGTGAGTGGCATTAAGCTGTACCTGATTTCCTCAGGATCTTGGCTTCCTTCCTCAAAAGTGCCAGCAGTAGGCCTAAGAGCCCAGAGTCACGGAAAATATCACTAAATAACAGGTCCTTCTGGGTCATGCTAAGAAGACACTGGAGAGCTGTTAAGGTGCAGAACGGCATTATGTTTTCCTTTATCAAATACTGGATCTTCTTCAAAATCTCATGGGGGACATAGAACAGGTCTAGGACTATGGACTCCACCAGCCTGAAGAACTGGACTTGGACTGGGTGGGGTTTGAAATGAATTATGTCAGTGAATTGGCTGATAGGTTGCAGTGTCCATTCCAGAAGAAAGAAGTTCATTCTGTCCCAAGCCCATATGGTACCAATTGCTGCCAAGATTCTTCCACACAGGTGTTGATCATTACTTCTTTGGAAAATGGATTGCAACACCTGAAAAGGCTGGAGGTTTTTCACTGTCATTCCTGTGGGGGAAAAAGCTAGGTGAGATAATTTTTACATGAGTATTATTTAAGTCTGCAAACACCGTAACTATACTGTTAGATCATCTGGAAGTGAAAATAAGAGCAACAGACATGAGGGATATGATTGGGAGGCATATTCTTGAGCTTGGATCACACCCTAGAGCTGACATGGTCATTTCAGATTGATGCAGGTATTTTCCTATGACCCACCTATCCAGCCACATGTGCATATATAGATATATATACACACACATATATATACTATACCAGTAGACTGCGTCCGTTCAAAATCAAAGTGCGGCAACTGTGGGTGTACAATATTGCCAGAAACTTTCAGTTCAGTTTTTCCACAGGTTGTAAGGCAAGTCAGCATGTCCAAGATCTCATCCAGATAGGGGTCTCCATTTTGCTGCAAACCCTCACATCTAGGAACAAAATTAGAGACAGTCATATGCTCATGCTCTAATTATACAAACACCTCTTATTATCAGATATGGAGTACATAGGAGCTACACAGAATAATGCCATAATGGCACACTGAATCAGAACAAAACCTACAAACTGAAGTGACACTGAAGAGTCTTCTGAACAAAAGGAAGAGAAATGTTTCAATGTAGTCCAGTTAAAAGCTAAGCTTAGTCCAAAAAAAGCTAACTCAAATAAAGTCTGATTTGAAGAATAAAAATTCAAACTTTGTGAGAATTCAAATAATTAAAACACCCTTCATACAAAAAAGTGGGCATATGTTGGCAAGATAAGGGACTTGCTAACTGAGATAAATAACGGAAAAATCTCAGCCCTGAGGAAGGGAAAAATATTATATTGCCTGAGCTTTGTGAATTAGACATGAAGATGGCACATCTCTCCTAAGTAAGGAAATAGTTTGAAATGTAACGTCAGATTTGCCATCGTTCATAGACTGAAGTGACAGTCTGTCAAAGGACAGAGAGCTGCTTATCACATCTTATTCTGTAATTCTCAGATGGGTCAATTATGAAGGAAAACTGCATCATCTGGGCATGAGATGAGTGGCAGAGAAATAGACTGATACTGTTTGGTTAAAAAATCTCAGAAGAAAACAACAATATGTTCTGGTTTCATCTAAACATTAAAAAAAACCCCAAACAAACAAACCAACCAACCAAAAATGAAAGCAAATGCTCTCTTTCAAAAAATGCTATTAGCAAGATGCTTTTTACCTGAAGAAAAAGTTCTAAACACCAGAGAAGAGGGTACCTGCTTACACAAAATATTCTGGAAAAAACTCTCCATCTAACCCTTTATGCCAGCATATGCTGGGAATGAGGACTAATCTGAAGCCCTCAGCATCTGTTATTTCTGTCTCTGCAGCCTAGTTATATCCGTTGAAAAGGATGGAGACATTCACAGCCCTTACTGAAAAAGATTCCATGTTTCCTGACATAACATGGCTAGAATTTAATCAGAAATATGCATATCAACACATTATTGTTGATGTTGCTTATTTACAAGGGAAATCTGGACAGTCTCTGGTAACTAAAGAAACCACTGCCAGAAAAACACAATTTTTTTTCCAATCATAAATTAATAATTTTGTGGCATTCAAAAATCATGGGGAGGAATAGTCACTCACAGATATATTTGACTTTGTGATTCAGTTTACAATCCTCTAGATCCAAGTTACAAAAAAGCATCCCTACCCCAGTTGTTGTTCAGGGACCAGAGTTTTCACAAGTGTTGGAGAAAGAGTACAAGAATAGGCAACTACAGAATGGAAACAAAAACACCTGGAAATGCTCTCTTCAAATGATGTTAAAGGAAACTCACCCTGGTGTGACAACACAAGCTGACAAGGAGAGTAAGAGATTCTGCTTTGCACTTTGCACTAGTGGGGATTTTTCCTGATATGTTTATGCTCATCTCAGTTCTGAAGAATGTAAACATTTCAGATTTAAGTTTGGGTGGGTTTTGTTTGCTTCTTTTTGCAGAGCAAGGAGATGGTGTTTCCCTCCCTAGCTGACTGCCTTCCTGGATTAAAAGTTCACTTCAACTGAGCCAAATGTCTCTGACCTACATCCTCTGTAATACTAATTGTTGAAGAACTTCTGTCTTGTGTTCAAAAAGTCCCTATTTTGTCCTAGTTTGCCACCTGCAAACTAACTTCCCCTATATTGTTCTCCTTCTGTTATGGTTTGATTAGTAGCACTTATGTACTGCTTCCCTTCCTAATATAGCAATGCCTTGCATCCACACAGAGTAACCTATATGATTTACATTTTAAGAGACCACTATGCATTCTGAAAATTAAGCTTTACCATCCTCTAGAAGCCCACTAGACACATCTCTTACCTGAGTAAAATTTTTAGCAGGAGTTGGTAGCCATCATTATTTTCAAACTCTGTTAATAAAGCTGATGATACAGGATAGGAATCTTTCACAAAGCACAACACAATACTAGCAGCTTCACACACATCACAAGCAGGTAGAGTATCAGCCAGTGTAAAGAGGTTCTGTACAGCTATTTTAATGCAGTCAACAGCTGTGGGAAAAAAATACAGCAGGTATTTAAGAAATGACAGCCAAACAAGTTTAAAGTTACTAACAAAAATTAAACAAATTTGAAGTTATTTCCCAGTAAAATAGGAGCAAGATAACTTTTTCAAAAGAAACAAAAAGAGGATATATGAATATCATGTTCCTTTCAGAAGCTAAATTAAGAACATTGCTGGCTTTAAAATATACATGCATTTCTTTGCTTTACTACCAGAAACTGATTTGATCTCAGGAGCATAAGCTTTCAACCTCCCCAAGCTCACCAAAATTCATATATGTTGAATCCAGCTGTCTGAGGACAAGGTAAGCAGAGACTTAACAGATTTAATTGTGTCATACTAAGTCACACATTCTGTGCAGAGTTCACAGATTAATTCTTCTCTTAAGGAAGCATATGTAATGGGGTACACACAATTTGCTCTGAGGAATTAATCCTAGTTTTCTTGTCTAATCTCATGATCAGTCCTTCCAGGCCAGCTTCAAAATGTCCAAATAGTTCTTTCCATCTCACTCGGGAAAACAAATTTTTATTTTAAAATATAAAAATATCTATATGCATTTACTCCATGACACAGAATACTGATGGAAATTTGTGCATTGTAAAACTTTTTTCACTTCTGAGAAATTGAGACTTGTGGCCTTTGCACTTCTTAATAAGAAAAAAATAATTACTTGAACTAATAAAGCCTAGAAAGAAATGGGGACTTAACAACCATGATGTTGTCCCAAAAGGTACCATTACTCTGACAGTGCCCCTAGCCTTGCATTTAGAGTTCATGAATCTCAGGCCCACAGACTGAGTCATACAACTTAAGAAAAAACATAACACATCTTCCCCTTGCCTACGTCAGTCTAATTAAGTGGGATTGGCTCTTGCCTGTGACTTGGGGGTTTTTTAATGTTAAAAACCCTTCAGTTTCTAGATGACTATCAGTGCTAAATAAAGTTCCTCTGTACTAAATCAAGAGCTCATGCTTTGCAGTTCTTAGCACACGGCCTGTAGGTACTTTCCATGAGTGGCTGCACTGGTCCCACAGAGAAGAAGTTGCTATAATTAATGACTGTAGCTTATCAGCTGCCAGAAGCTCCTCTACTCCTTGTTCCTCTTTGTACATGTTAAGCATTATCTGAAAAGCAAATAAACATCAGCTACAACAAACACCTCTAGAGATATCCAGGAGCTGAAGAAAAATCCATTGGAGAAGGAGATTTTAAGTTTGATACTAATGCCAGGAGAAAGGATGCAGTGAAATGAACAAGTAAAACTACTACTACAATATTCTTAATGGATTCTTCACACTCAAAGTCATGTTGTTTTGTTTAGTAAAAAAATAAGAGCTAGTTTATGTGTTTTTTATGGCTTCTGATGCTTATTCAATGTTATGCAGTCCAAACTCACAGGGCTTTTGTCAGTTTGAATCAAATGAACAGGTATGAGCCTTAGTGAACATCTGTGTATCCAGGGCAAATGAACCCCCAAATGCACATCTCACCTTAACAAGCATTTCCTGAGTTTGGGTATCATCCTCACTTGTCTCCCTGTCATCGCTGATTTTCTTCAGAGGGATAGTAAAGAAAAGGTACAGGCACTGCATCAGAGCAGCTGGAAGTCCAGATCCAATAATGTTCCACATAGTCTTCTAAACAGGAAAAATAAGATCAGTCCCTCCAGAAAGCTGACCACAGTTTCCTTGTGTTTCTACTCACTGAGAATAGTCATGGCTGATGAAAGACCTCCTTAAGCATTTTACCCTCATGAGTGCTCTAGGTCATACAAGACTGGCAGTCACATAGCATAGCTGTAAAGATCCACCTGGCAGAATTAAATGCACTGTGTGTTGCTGCAGCTGCTCCCAGGACTTCTTGCCCCAGCTGAACTACAGCTTTGGCAGAAGTACTCTGTCCTGCATATGGAAACCTGCAGTCAGTGAAGCACACGGCCTGCAAACTAACTAGCAGCTGAGCCAATAGTAAGCCCAGGGACAGACAGAGTCTTTCCAGGACACTCTGCAACTAGAAATGCCTGGTATGCTGAAAGCATGAATTCTCTATTCCCTCCTTGACTCATCATAGCAGTAGTTTACCTATAATACCTTTACTTTTTTAACATATTGAATAACTGCACACACTTCTAATTACAGGTTTTATAAATGCAAGTAACAGTTTCTTCACAGTCTTTCTCAACACTTAAATGCAAGTAACAGTTTCTTCACAGTCTTTCTCAACACTTAGCTTATTCCTATCTTCACTATGGCTGCGTAGAACTTCCAGACAAGTCCCAGTGTGTGTTCTTGGCACACAGTAATCATAACAAAAATCAGCAGCAAACTGACAGAAGAATGAGCTTTGTGATATGGAGTTTTGCAAGTATGTGTGCTATGAAAAATGGCACCACAGATGCCCATCAGCAGGCTGTACTCCTGATGCCAGTCTGCATTTGAGATGGCTGTACAAGTCGAGTTTTTGAAACACTTCAAAATGGGAGGCTATCAGGATTGAAAAGTCAACCACTCTATTACCAGACAGATTCTTACTATTCACCTTTTTGATATGTAAGCTATACTGACAAAGAATGCACCACAAGATGCACAAAGAGAAACACGAGGAAAAACAGCTGTCTGATAATGAAAACTACAAATGTAGCTGAAAGCACAAAATGCTTACTTTTCTCTTTTAGAAAATCCTGGCCTACAAGGTGGTGTGTCCTTCAGCTGTCTACCTTGAGCATGCTGAAGCTCAAAATATTAGGGCTAATGCACATACTGAGACTTGGGTCTTCCACTGTTGGGTTGCCTACACAGTTTCTCTGAAATAAAAAGGAGAACATGCTTCGCAGTACTTTCTCTTACCAAGTCAGTCTGTGAGAGCAGATACACTGATTTCAGGAGCAAATGGCCATCTCCTGCTTCCCCTTTCTGTTGCAGGAATTGCTCCAAAGCCAGACGAGCTTCTTCTGTTATCACAAAAACATTAATCTTAAATTCCTTAGTGAAAGATTAAAATGCTGCATTTATGCTTAACAGATTTGACAAGCTTAACAAAATTACAGTAGCAGAAGTTCACTAAAGTAAACTGAAAAACATAAAATTACTTTGATTCAGCATCAAGCATCAACATGTAAACTACATGTTTCAAACTGAAAAATTTCACCAAGAATACCAGCTCAGTTCATGAAGCCTGGCAGCTGACAGCACAGAGAATGTACAACAGCCACCAGGAAAGCCATATGTAGCTGGAAATGTTTTTCTCATTTAAGAAAGTGCCTCAAAATAATGTATAACCTACACTTTAACTCTTACATGCATTATACATTACACACTTTCAGCAAGAAAAGTTCCAAACTGAAGATCAGCATGACATACGAGGCCAAATCTTCAGTGCAATCACCTCAAATCAGTGGTAGCTCACACCCACTAAAATGTCCGGCTTGCTACACAGCATTTTCCTGTTCCCCCTTTATTTCCAGCACCGAGTACAACTGAAAGACACAGATTTCCAGAATAACTGAATCCAATGGATATGGTAAGGGATCATTACCTGCAGGCTTGCCATTGAGGTTCCTCTTAATTTCTTTAGTCAGAAGCTTGGAAACCTCACTGGCTAACAACTGAATGTTGGGCAATACGATTGCTCCAGCAGACTGTTCCCAGGCCTGAAATCCAAGTGTAAATGTTAAGTCTCTGACACATCATGTCTTTGGTAGATTGACAAGAACTAATAAATAAAAATAAAGAAACAAAGTTAACATTCCCCTATAAAATTCCCTCCCTAGTCAGTATAGTCCATTAAGCAGTATTTCCCAGACAGGCAGGAGTATGACACAACAGATACAGAAGTCAAACTACAACTACCTTTTGAATCATGTAATGCACCTACTAGAGAACTTTTACAGTATTTTTTACATGGAATGCAATCCAAACAAATTAAATGATGGTCATACCCTGTGTCACTAATTATTTATATCAAAAACTATTCTAGCCCCTTTCAAAATATGACAAACACCCTTAAGCAACACAAGCTTATAGATAAGTTTATAAACAATTTATAAATGAGTTTATAATTCACTTGTTCAAGAATGGACAAGCAATTAAGTACAAAACTTACTAGATAAACAACAGTAAGACTTGTTGATTTCCTGAGTCTGACAAAAAAAATCCTCCTAAATTTTTTCTTAACCCTGCCTTTGGGGGAAAAAATATCAAAGATCAATAAAGAATATATTCCAGCAGACTATTACTATTGCACCCAACCAGCCTCTAAAAATTAAGTGCCAATTCTTTTATAGAAAATATCTGATGATACACACATTTATGTATTAACAACAGTTAAGCATTCACCTCTGAAGACCAAAGTGTGAGATACCTCTGTCCTCAGCAACCTTGAAAAATTTTCTTTACGAAAGTCTCCTCCTTTTAGAAACTGAAAAATAACGCTATAACCCTCAATGATTAAAGGAAGAAAAATGACATATGTCTTCCTAAGAAAAATTGGATCACACATCCCATAATACTTTCTGCCAAGAAATCAGTGCAACTCTTCATAAATGAAGATCCTCCACAAATATTATTGCCTTCCCTACCATTGCTTTCAATTTCTTTTCTTTCATCACAGATGGCAGCTTGTGGACAAAGTGTCAGCCATCTCTCAGCAATCAGGCATGCACCTCCTTTTTACTTCATTTTACTGCAGTCAATAAGCAAAATGCACCCAATCCCATCTTTCTGTACTACAAGAGTGCAATGCAATTGCACAGTGTGCCTATTATTAATTTTCATCAATCAGTCAATGTTAAAAGCAAGCTATTTTTTTTCAGATTTTGACCATAAGTTACTTTCAGAGACACTCAATTGCAGAAGCAAGATCCACCAATTCCTCCACCTCTGATACAGAAGGGAGGGAAGATCTGTAAAGAACAGAAACAAGCTGGGCAAACACAATGACAAGAAATTTACAGTCACTTAAAAACACACAATGTTTGCCATTAAGCTATGCCCTTTTTCAGAAGAAAGCAGTGAGAGATTTCTGCCCCTCTTCCTCAAACGGGAACATCCATCCTCTTAACACTTCAGAAAGGCCTTGCTATATTCGCTCTTCTCCTAACAGAGTGAGCAGGACAGATTTCTGAAGCTCGGGTCATACACAACAGAGAGTAGTAATCAAATGTTCATAGCAATGCTACTAGTCCATCTCCCTACAAAGCAGGCCACTAATGTTCTGATTTGGTTTTGTCAGTGCTCTTCCTGAGGGTCAGACAACAATCTTTATAATACATTGTCCTTAGGAACAGACCAAATTAATTTCATGTTCATGTCTGAGCCTACAGAAGATCTATATCTAGAAGCATATCAACCTGACTCCACTGTAGGACGTCTGCCTTTAGGGGAAACTCAAACAATATGGTATCAAAGTAATCTGATCTTTTTTCTTCCTTTTAAACCTGATTCTACATATATAAGATTCTGCCACAAGTTCCCCATGTCTGGTGTTACCATCTGCCCTTCCTATACCATAGTTCACAGAGAGATGCTAGATCAAAAGCCAGCCGTGTAATAGAACGTTCTGATACTTTCTGAGGCACCAAGAGGGAAGATACAGAAGGCACATTAAAATTACTCCCAGCCCAGGCCTGAATCACAAGCAGATGGCTGACATTTCCCTCCCACACCTTTTCCTTCTACGTCAAGGAGTATCAGTGAGCAACGAGCCCCCGCACCCCAGGTGTCTCCTGCTTGGTGACCCCTCTCTCCAGCCAGCTGAGTAAGAGCTAAAGCACTGTAAAACAAAAAAGCAGAGATGCACTGGCATCTTCATGATCCAAAACAGAAAGTAAAAGCAAGAGAAAAATCTTCCAAGGAGGGAGAAGACTCAGAGAGAGTCCATTGTTAAGCAGTGGGAAATGAGGTAGTTTCTGAAAGAACTTCACAAAATGTTCAACTCAAATTGAGATGCATTTCCCCAGGCCAGCAGAAGGCTGGTACATGGAGAGTGTAAAAGTCATGTGGGGAAGGGCATGATCCCCCACACTGTACTCTTAAATGAATGGTGCAAAGCCAAAATGCTCTAGTAGTCACATTTCTGGACCTAAATTGCTCCAAAGCAGTGCAAAGCTACACTATCTAAGAAAAGTGGAGAGGAAGAATCTTACAGCTAGGGCACAAAATTAAGTGTTAAGCTAATGAAAAAATCACTTCTCCATTATTAATATATTCAGGAGCAAGGTTTCCTTTGAGAATTTAAAAGCCCCTTTTTGCAAGCATTACTGAAATTCAGGAAATCAGTTTCTACAACCCTAAGGCTTGTGAAGTTCATCCCTACAGAAAGGAAACTCATGATGGAAATGCATACATACAACGTGGCTGGTCCCTCAGCAATACTTATCTTGCCTCCTGGGAACAACTGTTCTTTGACCCTGAAGTACTGGTACTAAAATTTGTTTATTTATTGTGACATGTGAGAATTTACTGCTTTGCTGTCCAATTTTTAATTCCTAAGACTTCTGGATTTTATAATTTTTGTCATCCTTGTTCAATAACAACTTTCTCAGTTCTGTGAAAATTTCATTCCAAAAACTTATCACTACATTAAAGGCACTCATTCTTTTCAATCTTAGTTAAGAATCAGTAAATCTAAAGACATATTGAATCTTATCTCACCACAACTTGTTTATTTCATGCTCACTACATGGTATTCAAAAGCTAAAGGTCTAATAGAACACAGAAACTTTGAGATCTTAGAATTTTAATTTAATTGTAAATTTGAGGCAGAAAAACCTCAATAGAAGAACTTCACATAAAGCCTGCAATACATTGTTTACAAAAACAGAAGGAAGCAGTTTAGAGAGATTATCTTCTAGCAAGGCCTGTTCATTGGGATGAATTAATACCCTAGAATCATTAAGGATGTATATTTTCCATGGACCTCAAGAGGAAGTCTACTGGTTTGGTCTGGGGTGGAATCAATTTTCTTCACAGTGGCTGGTATGGGGCTGTGTTTTGGATTTGTGCTGCACACAGGGCTGATAATACAGAGATGTTGTCATTGCTGGGCAGGGCTCACACAGAGCCAAGGCCTCTTCGTGCTGCCATGCTGGCGAGGAGGCTGGGGGGAGACACAGCCAGGACAGGTGACCCCAAGTGACCAAAGGGCTATTCCAGACCTGATGGCATCATGCTCAGCACATAAAGTGGGAGAACAAGGAGAAAAGAAGTGGGGGATGTTTGTAGTGATGGTGGTCTCTTTCACACTTCCAATTTTCTCCCCAATTTCACTGATGGGGGGTGAGTCCCTGTGTGGTACTTGGCTGCTGGCTGAGGTTAAACCATGTCAGGAAAGAAGACAAGAGATCTGAAAACAACTCTAGGAGAAAAAAAAAACCAAAAAAAATAACAAACTAGATGGCTCTCACTCCAAACTAAAAGGTTGTAACTTCTGGCAGTGCTGTCTCAGAAAGAAAAACCAAGAGTGTAATTTTCAGCATGCCATTTTAAAAGCAGATCCATGGAAAAAGGAGGTGCTCCTCTATGGAAAACTGTCAGATTATCAGCCCTGATCTGACTGTGACGTGCATTCTTTGGAGGCCGAGAAAGGAATGCTACCCCTTTGCGAAGCCAGTAATGTGGTGACCTGATAAGGCAGTAGTGAGCTCACAGCACATGTAGTGCCATTTGCAAAAGAGGTTTGTTTTTAGTGACAGGCTCATCCAGAGAGCAACAGTTCTGTTCAAATATAGCCTTTGGTTTGGGAGGGACACTCTTCTATGCAAACAAATCCAGAAGTTCAGAGGAAGTGGTGAAAAGTGAAAGCTTTGTTATTAACATAAAATATCTATAAATATATCTTAAACATAAAATATCTATATGATCATTTCGCTTTAATGAGAAGGCCAATTCTGAGGCTCCAGTCTATACACTCACTGTCTTTTCAGACCCTTCCACTCATTTTGTCTGCACCACCTTGGATCAGGGCAAGCTTTTATCAAACACCACAAACTCTTCACCATGGGCACGTCCAGATCCTACCCACAGCCCAGACACCAGTTTCAGTGCTGTTCACTGACACCAGTATCTACAATGATTTCACTGTGCACAAGGACTTACAGCATCAAAGGTTCATTTTCCATCCACCTAAGTGGAATGCTAATGACTATCTGGAAGTTAATACTGCATTACTGTCATGGACACCAAAGATGTCACAGCCCTGAGCACAATCATTTTCCTACACAGTCAGTTCAAGATACATGGTATCCCCTTTTATGCCTCATGGTGCCTCAATATAAACAGTGACCATGCATTAATTTATTTTTTTCCTTACCTACACACTGACTTCTATTTTAGAAATCCAGCTCCGTCTGTAAGGAACAGACAGATCTGAGTTCCATCACTCAAAAGCAGTGAGAACTCACAAGTACAGGCACCTGAAATACGCCATCATTAAAATGTGGTTTCACCAAAGATATGTTTTTATTCTTTTTCTGAAAGACACAGAGTGTAAAAATACAGATTCAATACCCATAAATACCTAAGGTAATCCAAGAGAAAAACAATTCTGTACTTTTACATAGCCACAGTGCTTTTAAAAATAAACCAGGCTTTCTGCTTCACTCAGCATATGCTCTGCCGTTCTGTCTCTGTATGGTCCACTCAAGAAGTTTCCTGTATTTTCCACAGACTCTAGCAAAGAAAACCAACCCATAAGGCTCCCATTCATCACAGAGCTCTTCTAGTTTCACCTTACAATATGTTCATCTCAGAAATCATTGGGTGATGGCAGCTGTAGGGTAGCCTGCTAACTAAAATGTTCTAGTTCTCAGCTGTGTCCCTCAACCATGATATGCCCTTTCTCTTCACACTCCATGGTTTCCTCATCTCTCACCCAGCTCCTCTCTCAAGCACTAAAATTAGAGATCAGCATTATCATTAACCCCAAAATTCCATCTGTGGGTTGTACACCTTCATTCTGCCTAACCGGCTGCATGCCACAACCACATTTTCCCAGACTGAAACTGTGCTCAGCCCCCACTAAGTAATAAAATAGATGAAGCAGACATGAAGTGACCTCTTCACAGGGTACTCACTTTGTAAGCTGCCTGTCTCACTCCTTGATACCAAGAATAGAATTTAGTCTCTCAGGAAAGTGAAGCAGCACTCCCCCGTGTACTTATTCATGCCAACCTAGCAGGTAAGGTGGAAGGAAGACAAGGAACTGCTTCTCCAGGCTCCCAATGGAGTAAAAGAGTTTATCACCTAAAGGATCCTGCTTCAATTAACTACACTGGCTGTTTAGGCGACCACAATGGATAGAGGAAAAGAAACTCAAATTGGCATCTGCACCAAAGGCAATAAAGAGAACAAACCTTTAAGAAGAGGGGAAGAAATTCCAGCAGCCTTCTTTGTTGATCCTCGGGGATGAGAAATGGAGCCACTTGTTCATATTCTACTAACTGCTTGCCTAGAGTCTCCCACAGGAGGGTATGGCTCTGGGGTGGCTCGTCCTTGCTGTGTGCAGGCTGCTCCAGCACTTCTGCTGTGTCTCCATCATCAGGGCTCTGCTCCTGCTGTCCTGCATTGTCAGGTGAATCCTCAAGCTGCCATATGGGTTCAGCTGCTTCGTCCATGCTGAGATGAGATCAGATAAATATACCGTGTCATTTACATCTCTTACCAGGCAACTCTCCCAAAAAATGAGACAGTTTTAACTGTTGAAGTAAGAGGTCAGAAATATAGAAACACTCTCAGTCACAGTCTCTTTTCCAATTTTAATGGCAAAGCATCCTGCTCCTGGACAAGAACACTACTACCCTGCAATAGCACGGACAAGCTCTCTTGCATGAGACACATGCATGTGCTACACAACGCATCTGGGCTTTGCTAGAGCAAACCAGTAAACCACACTGCTGTGTGGATTCCAGCTTTGCCACTGAATCAGATCCTCTCCCTTACACCTCAGTCATCCTAACTCTAAAACAAGATACAACTATTACTATCAGCAGATCTGCAACAGAAGAGCACTAACCAAGAGCCAGGTTACACATTTCTTTGAGTATGGATGCTAAATCTAGCCACACATCACTGATACATTCCCCACCTAGAGTGGGGCTGAAGCCCATCTGGAATAGTAGCTGTGTGGAAAAGCCACAGTTTCCTCCCAAAGCTGTTCTGGCCCAAAGAGGCAGCAACATTCAGCCATTCTTTTTGGCAGATGCACAGCTCTGTACAACAGGTATTTTCACAACACTGCTTGTTTTGATGATCCTGTAAACTGAAGCAGATATGCCACAATGAAGAAGCATGGTGCTTCTCATTCCCATCAAAATTAAAATGGGTCCATCTTGCACTACACATTGAGGAATCCTTCTGGTACCCTTATTGCAACTCCAACTCTTCTCATCTACTTTACAGCCATGTTTTCATCCATAGTGTTCTGGGAGTTGCTCAGCCCTACTTCTTTGCCACAGCTTCTGTGAGCTCACCCTGCTCTGACAAGCCTACATCATGCCAACACTAACACCAATGGAGATCAGGCTTCTCCAGTCAAAGTCATCCATATGCTTATTGGAGTCTAGGTCATTGTCTGACTGCTTCTGAGACTATGACAGGACAAATTATGACATTGTGGGTAGGTAGATGGGAGTTGACACCAAAATAAACGTAGCTCACTTTACTTATAAAATACATAATTTTTTAAGAGCTCAAAAGAGTCTTTAACACATCATTACCTCTCAAAGAAAAACAACAATCTACTTTCATTTCTGGGAAAAAAGGTTCTTTCTCTACAATGTCTCTTTGATTGCCATTCCACCATTTCAATAAAAATGCCAAAAAAAGCAAATGTAACTAAAAATATGAGTCAGATGTACACTACCAATAGATATATATGTTAAAATAAATTTAAAAATACAGTACTATGAGTCTTGTTTAGAATTATGAGCCAACACTAAAACTGCATTTGGGGTGCTCTCCCTTTGTCATCCATCAGTTACACAGCTAGCTTACTGCTTGCATTCTGCCCACTCCATGCCAGATGAACCAGTTTAATTCCCACACTCCTGCAGTAGCTCTGTACTGTAGAGATGGAGGGCAGGGCATTTATCTTGTGACTGTGCACTGCACCACCTGCAGCAAGATGATGGTCCCAGCAGACACCAGACACCTATGCTTAGATGCAAATGCTGGTGATGCCTTAAGTTTCAGCTTTCATATTTCCCAGATTTTGTACTTCATATAAACTCTGAACTTCATATAAAGTGTTAGGAAGTTCTCTTCACAATGCAGTTAGATTAAACAATCATTTTCCAGCCTGAGAACCAAGGGCACTGTTGCAGCTTCAGGTATAAAATGTATAAACAGCAAATTGGAGAGAGCAATCTGGGAAGATGGGATTTATAACCTGAAGCTGTAATTGAACAATTAACCTCAACATGGAAATGGACCAAAATTTAAAAAAGTGTGAAAACATGCAACGGGTCATCCATCTTGGGTGGAGCCTCGGCTAGGTTCTTGTACTGCCCAAGGTGTATCCTTTGAAGGCCTTTTTAATACATTTCTACTTTATTCCTTTAACACTGACTGGCCTCTGCTCTAGGTAGCCTCTCAAGACATAACTGGTTCTTCACACTAGACCATGGGCTAACTTATTTTATCACAGCCCACACTCTGTGCTTTGCTAGGAGATGAAGGCCTATGTAATTTTGATCAGTCTCCAAGGAACAGTCAGTCTAGAACTTCCTAGCTCCACAACATTTTGTGTTTTTCTGCTATTGTTTTCCTTAATTATCTGTATTAAGACAAGCCCTATGAGAATAAAGCATGGTGACTGCAGAGTAAACAGGAAGACTCTGTTCCTCATGACTGTGTGGGAGTTACATGTGTCATATGTTATACTTAACTCTGGTGTGGGATTTTGACCCACTTGAGTCATCCTGAAGCTGTAAGTGTGTTGGTTGAGAAAGCCTGGGTGCTGTTCTAGCAGCTTCAGTGAGCATATCTCAGTTATGTTTCCAGTGAGGGTCAACTTGCAACTAGAAAAGCCATTCTCTTCCTCAAGGAGATCTCTCACCTTGGAAGCTACTCTGCTTAACCTAATCAATTCTAACACTCCAGTGCCAATGTTCACCGTGGTCTTCTGCACAGAGAACCCAAAAGTGCTTTACAGAGGCATTCTACAAATGGTGAAACTTAGTCATGGAGAGCTGAAATTAAGTGCTTCCACTGGCCTCAGAAGGTGGTCAGTGACTGATGAGTTAACTCATCAATCAACTCAACCTGAGCTGCATTGCATGGCCCTGCAAATGTGTTTACCAATTTTCTCTTTTATACTTGACTGAGAAGTATTAATAATAATATATATTATAATTTATATATTAAAATATATATAATTAAATTGTTGGTGGCACATTTAAAGCAAGCAGGGATAGCCTCTCAAAGTGTTCACCCTATGAGCCCATGTAGTGAAAGAGTTCATCCCAGCTCCACAGAAACTCTTAATACCTTTGGTATTAAGTATAAATTAGATATTTTGAAAAGGTCTTATATGTTGCCTCTTGTACAATTCCCTGCTTGTTTTGATCCTCAGTGTAAGTTAATAGCTTATTTCAGTTTTGATAAGTTTTTTGTTTGATTCTTGATGAAGGTTGAGAAGATACTTTTTCATAAGTATCACAATGATACAAAAAGTAAACCCCAAATAATATATATTTTTAAAGATATAAAACTGAAGATTAATCAAATAAAGCTCACCGTATCATTCAGAACGCAGTGTCAGGTTACAGAGAGAAAATGTAACTTAATCATGTATTTTTCTTTTTTTTTTCTAAATAAAGCTTGTGTGAAATCACATAGCAATGTGGCTACATCTTTCCAGACTGAAAAGACAGAAGGGAAGAAAGGCCTGACCAAAACTGGCAGAAGGACCAGCAGAACACTGTTACTAACAGCTTACTAGCTGAACAAACATGATTTTTTTAATGATACTTTAATTATATTTATCTGTGATTACTCCCCTCAGCAGTTCATTGAAGGATCCCATTAAGGTAAAAAAAATCCCAGTTTTCACCAGGACCAAAGGAGAATCTTGTACCAAAATTAAGGCAAAAATTGGTCCACTTCTTACAGTGAGTGTCTTTTAAAAATGTTAGCTGAGTGTACAGGGAAATCCCGAATCTCCAAAAGTATATAAACACAAAATAAAGACTACAGTTGGCGTCCTTATTTACTCCAAATGTTCAGATAGCAAGAGATAGACTAGACAAAATCCAAAGTCCTAGTTCTAGGACTACCTGCTTTAAATATTCTTTATCTTAATATAGTTTTCTTGACTATTAAATCCCAGCATTTTGTGGACTACTGGAAACACAAAGCTCAGATCATCCCAAAAATCCAGCGTGATACTCCTTTATGCCCCCTTCCTTTCACTGGCAGCCAAGATGACTGTTTAATGAACAGTTATGACAGCTAATAATTGTAAAGGCTAAAAAGAGGAATTCCACTACTTCCTAAGGAAAGTTGTCTTTTCACTGCAGTTTAGGATGAACTTTGAAACCTTCACTAACTGAAAGTAATACTATCATAACATACCAGTCACAAACAATATTGGAGGTGCCCCCAACATTTAACAGTCTGTTCTGTCTGCTTTCACAGAAAATCTCTTGACATACCTGGGCTCCTAGATTTAGCAGCTCCTGTTGCAGTCAATAACCACATCCAGAGAAATGAGTGCTGCTGCTTCTGTCCTACCAGGCATGTTGATGTTTGCAGCAGCTCCCACTCTGCTCTTTAAACTTTTCACTGTGAATCACCTGATTAGCTGCTTCACTTACTTCCTGAGGAAAGCAGAAGTGAAAAGCAAATGAACCACAGCTGAGGAGCCATCAAGCTCCCAAAGCAATTTAGAACAAGCTCAGCTAACACACAAACTTAGAAGGCACAGCATTCTTCACCCTGCATCAAAAGTAACCATGTATTTCCCCCTCTGTACCACATTCACAAGGGGGAAGGGGAATAGGATTTGTTTAATTTTGGTTTTAAATTTAAGGTTTACAAAACTACTACAGGAATACGACACCAGAACTCATGCTCTTTGTGCAACAATATATGGCCAGTCAAATGTTGTAGTCCTTCCTCAAATGCCTCACCCTTTAAATAAATACATTTGAATGGCAAGGGGAATTCTGTGTCCCTGACCTCTTTACTGAAATGGTCAAGGCAGCTACTCAGATCAAGGGGCAAACAAGCACTATAAGCTCACTGACAACGTAAATGAATCTTGATTAGATAGGGGCTTGGGGGAAGATTACTTCTCAGTTGTCTAGCTGCTCTTTTGTTCTCCCTAATAACACATCTGAAAGGCTTTATAATGGTTTTTTAAGGGGAGGTAGAGTTAACTATTTTCACACAGGAAATTCAAGTGTTTCCAACTGCTTCTCCCCAGCAATTTCATGGTGACCTTGAAAACCAATGGAATTATGATATTTGAGTGGCTGAAACCTGAGGAGACTTTACCCTAGGTGGTTAAAGCCACCAGCACCTTATTCAAATGCTTGAAAAAGCATTCACTAACCAACTTTCTCTTCCAACTAAGCTGCAACTTTGCTGCACAAAGTACTGCTAATCCAGGCTGAAGATTCCCAGTAAATCATAAGCCAGGATAGCAGTTGCCTACACTCCACAGGGACCTCTCTTGATGCATAGCCCAATTGGCATATTGGCATAGACCAATCCCAGAGGACTGTTCTCATCCCTTATGGGTAGTGTCTTGTATTGGAATACAGGCAGCAGCAAAATAATGGGTTTAGTTCATCCCTTTACACATTATACCAGGATTTAAGCAGACTGTAGTTTTGCTGCAAAGAGAAATATACCTTAGATCCCAAGAACAGATTCCGCACCAGTAGCCTCTAAATTGGCCATGTTTTGGAAATCATTAGCTAAACCAAGCATAATTTACTTTTACTATAATTTTCCAAGAAGATGCAAGGTCACACTGAGCTATGCACACTGAGGGCACCTCCAGTGAAAGCTTCATTTGGCTGCTTCAGTGAGCCCCAGAGCCACTCACAGCTCTGTGCTGCACTGGTGTGGCTGTGGGGCCTCTGGCAGATCTGGCAGGCTGAGCAAACTCACACAGTGTGAAACTCCATGCCAACACATCCACTGCTCTCCTGATGTAGGCCATACACATCCCAGCTGCAATCCAGCTGAACCCACACTGGTGAGATGAATGGCAGGAGCACAGAGATCCAGAAGAGAATATTAATACCAATCCAGAGAGAACATAATTGGCTTAGACTTTCTAACTCAGAAACAAGCCTAAATGTGCTCCACTTCCACATTTTTACTGCCACTTTAAAAGCACAGAAGATCATCTGCAGCATCCCCACCACACTGCTTGCACTGCTTGATCAGAGAGGTTTATTTCCCAGGGATTTTCCAAATCCAGTAGTAGCTCCTCGTCAGATGGTCAGACTCAAGCAGACAGACAATCTTTAAGAAAGTCACAGCAGAGGAAGCACCATTTCTCTTTTTCATACTTCACTAACTGTTGATGGGTCTGAAAGTCCAGTTTCAACACACCCACCCACTAATCTCTGCTTCACTGGAGCAAAACAGATGTAACTGAATTACATGTAGTAAAAATAACTCAGTGAGTAAAGACAACTATACAGTTAACATAGTAAGAAATGCTGCCACAACACCCTTTGTCAGTCTGGGTTGTTTATACTAAAAACCCCTTTTTAATGTCCCTCCGCCTACAGAAACAGGAAGAAAAAAAATCCTTCTTTGTTCTCTTCCCTATAATCTCAGAGAAAAAAAAACCAAAAAACAAAACATGTCTCCTACATGCATTTACAGCTCTGTCAGGGCACGTAATTCAAAGGAACCTTCATTTTGTTTAAGATATCTAGAAAGGTCACTACATCTCCTGGTCCCAGGAGCCAGCTCTAGCAACACCAACTGGGAACTGCCATCTGGCAGGGCAGCACTGTGATGTAGGTCATCCACAGTCCAGTGGAGATGGTGTCCTGTCTGAGCCAGATATACAGCTGGCTTTCTGAGGCAAGGACCCAGAGATAACTATAACTACAAGGCCCACCTGTCTTGCAGCATTAAATACTGTCCCTCATGTTGCTTCTGGTTGAACTTCTCTTTTCTTTGCCACTCCAGTCTCCACGCACAAGCAGAGAAAAACAGACACACACCTTTGCATCTATGATACCAGCCAAACCATTGGGTCTTAGTGGTTGAGCATGCCAAGAATCACAGTACTTCTTGAGCCTGAGGCAGGTTTCCCCAAAAACACAACTTGCTGTATGCTTCAGCTCACTGAATGGCTGACTGGCTACAGCAAGGGCAGACAAGTCCTCTGGCTACTGCTGTGCAGTGGCCTTTGCCTCAGGGCCTCCTAGTTCAGCCCAACTGCAAACCCACATGGGATGGGGCTTTGCTGAAAATCCTTTATTTCTCCCTTCACCAGGTTTATCTCCTTGTAGACATAAAAAATAAAAGTCAGCTGAAGTTGCTGAGACAATAAATTTTTGTGATGCACATTTGTAACCTTCAATCTAGAGGGGAAAAAAAAGCAAGATAAACATGTGTTCTTTTCAACATTTCAGTGCCCAAAAGTTGAATTAGCTGCAGGCTTTTTTCCTCACTCTTTGCCTTTCTTGCTAAAATCCATCATCTTTTCTTGATAAAAAGAAAGTTGATTAAAAACTGTTAGAATCATTATTCATTTCTTTAGGGAAGCGGCTGTGTTTCATTTTCCTCCCTTCTTTTCAGTGGCAGAACAGAAGCTGACAGAGAAACCGCAGAGAAAGGCGACGCAGAAATTTAAACCATCTGCTTAACCATCATTTTCACTCATCATTTTTCTCAGCAAACCTTGAAATTTGCAGTGAAGGAGGCATTCAGCCCCTTCAGCACATCCTCCCAAAGAAGCAGAAGCAGCCGCCTGCAAAGAAGCTGCAGGGTTGTGGGCCTGAGCAGCTCGGCTCCTCTCCCTCAGGCGCAGGCACGGGCAGCAGGGCTACAGAGGCCACCCCACCCCTCGGGCTGGCTCTTCTCTGGAGGCCGAAGCCCTGGGGAGGTGGAAGGCAAAGAGCTGCTGCTGGCGCTGCCGGGCGGCCCCGGCTGAGCCTCGGCTGAGCCACGGCCCGGCCCGCCCAGGGCCTTGGGCAGCACCGCCACCCCTGAGGGGAAGAAGGCGACGTGTGCCGGAGCACGGCCACACTGCAGATCGCCAGGTAACTCACCTGTTTGTGCGCCTGCACAGGTAACTACACTTCAGCTCTAAATTAAATGGACTGAGGAAACCATGAGGGCTAGCTGTAGATACATTCAGTGTATCCACAAGGAGAGTATTGCCCGCCAGCATCCCTGAGCACTCCCAGCCTGTATGGGAGCCCCAGAAATCCCCCAATACTCTGGCACCATGACTGTGGGTTTAAAAGGACAGGGCAGTTTGCAGCCTTGTTCCTGCAGTCAAACTCCAAACTTGTCTCAGGAAAGTGATCCATTTCCTTACCCCATGTTTCCACCTGAGCAAGGTCAGGAGTTCTGCAGCTGGTCCTCTGTGCCTCCTGGCACCTTTGGTCAGCAGTAGCAGTGTTACGTAGTAAGGATAATTTGTCACTTGAATTTTGTTATTCCAAAATGTTTCATTGGAAACAAATTCCCTCCAACACAAGTCTGTAAATCAAAATGAATTTTTCCCAATGTTTTTGTTTAAACAGGAACCAACAGAAGTGTATCCAATGTCCTGCAGTTTATATGTTGGGCTGCAACAGTGGTTTTCAGTCTTTTGAAATCTGTGCAATCCGGAGGTAGTTTCCAACAAAGCATTATGCAGCTCATGTAAATCAGCTGCTTGATAGCTTCACCCTTTGGTCATTTGTTTTGCCTCTGTTAAAATTAGTCAGGGAGACTCACCAGATAATATAATTACAGAAGTACACGGAATAATTTTAAGCTACACTTAAAAAAAATTCCGTGCATAAATAAATCTCAGTTATTCCAGAGTCAGTAAAATAACATCAGCTTTTGAAAACACAAGAAAAAATAATCCTCATTTAATAATAGGTATGTAACAAAAGTGAAAACATTTTTGTTTGAGATTTTCAGATCCAAACAAAACTTAATAGAGTATTTTTTTCCCAGAAGAAAAAAGGTATCAAAAAGCAAGTTCCTCTGGCAAGCTGCTATTTTGATTAAATGTCACCTACTGACAAGAAGTGTTGTGCAGTAAAATTTTAAGACAACTTGACTGAACACATGATATCCACACAAGAACCCATGTTAGTCTAATGAGACTGGAGAAGTTGAAAGGCTGGTGCAAAAAATATAATTGGCATAGCCAATGGCATGCTCCCTCCTGTACCTCAGATTAGCTCTCCACTACAGGATTCACAGGAATTCATTGCTTTCGTATCAACTCAAAAGTTGTTGAATTAAATGATCATGGTACAGAAGTTCTTCGGGATTTTATTTTTTTAATATTTTCAAAGTTAGACTTCAACATAGAGTGCTTATCAGAAATAGAACTCACAGACAGCTGCAGACAAAAGCACGAGATGTAATTACAAAACTCATATTGACCAAGAGCTGCTTTTCTTGGAAGATTTATTCTTATTTTCTCTGCAGAAGGATCTTCAAAATCTCTGCAGACAACATCACTTAAGTTTCAGAAATGGGTGCTAGTTCCTGTTTTACACCCCCTTTGCTTTCTGTCAGGATGTTGTGTAGCATGCACAGCCTACAGCAACAGTCATCATCTTAGAGGAAATAGGGAGCCTGAAGTTCAGGCTAAAAAAATTAAACAATATCCCTCAAACACAAGTGTGAGAGCAGATATTTTTCCAGCTGTGATACGTTCCCTGACAGCTACATTGTTTTGGTTTTTTTTGGGTTGGTTGATTTGACTTTTTGGGTTTTTTGCAGTTCTCAAGTCTACTGATAAACTCCAGGTCTTGTGACCTTGTTCTTCAATAAGCTGTGCTCCCAGAGAGACTCTGCACATATCTAGGAAGGTTGCTTTCCCACAGTCATAACTGCTCAGGTACCTGCAAATGCCTAATAAGCCAGGTTTAATAAGCTGTCACACCCTATTCATGGATTAGCCTGTTTTTTTCTGTAGATATTCTTCTAGCTCTGTGAACTAGACGACTCATGTATCTTCCCTTTTCTCCAATGCTTTATTTATAGAACCAATACTCCAGTTGCATTTGGTTTGCCATGTCATACAAAATTCTGGACAAAAGGAACAGGGATGAAAACAGTGGTTTTGCTCTCCGGTATGTTCTGATTTAAAAAGACAGTTCTTGAAGCTGAGCAGCTTCCCTGGGGACTGTTGCTTTTAGGGTGTTCAAATGACCCTGTTCTAGGCTGGTAGATAATGAGAAAAAGATCTCCTTAATCCCTACTTAATTTATAGCCAGAGTCTACAGAGCAAAAAAAGTGTTTGCTTTTGTGCCAGGAACTGGACCAATAAGGATATATAAAATTGCTGCTGCTCATCAGAGAGGTAATTTTAGTCCTGAAATTAAACCCAAGCACTGCATAAGTAGAAAATACTTTGTTAAGGGGGAAAATTAGAGCAAAAAGGAACTAGTCATTGGCTGTGTGATCATTTGGAGCTCCAAGCATGCAGCAGAACTTGAAAGCAGAGCTATCACAGCAGAGGCAGCTACCATGTGTGGTAAAGGAGGAACTGGTAAAAGAATGCAGTCCTTACCTTACAGTGGGGCTCACCACAAGAGAGAAGTGCAACAGCTCCATGTCAGATGGAAGTCCTTTTTGCTGCTGTGCCATTGCAGGACTGCAGAGCAGTGGCTCAGATCTGACAAACCAGCAAATTCCTTCTGCAAGGCTGCACATTAGAATGCCAGTTCAGACACAGGGTATCTAGGATCACTGCCTTCAAGAACTGCCTGGATCTAAGTAGGGAAATGTGAATGGCAGGCTTCACATGGAGGTCTACAAAGGCTTATTCAGTAACAAGAGTTGCTGTCTAAGAAAGAGACAGCAGTCATAAGATGAGACTTAAATAATTATTTTGTATCTCAGTACATGAGTCACAATACAGATGCCTCTGACTTGAAGGAAACAGAAACCTATCTTGTCAAAGTCTGGGACCTGTATGCATTCAGAATGTAACCTGAAAGGTTTGCCCCCTTCATCCAAATGTGTAGCAACAAACTAGTAACAGAACCTGTGCTCAGAACATTGACAGAGTCACTATAAAAAAAAAAAAAAAAAAAAAAAAGGTCAAAATCAGGCACATGACTTGTACTTTATTCGGCACAAGTGGAAGAATAGCTCAGAGGGGGAATCCATCTTAAAAGACATCTGAAATGCACAGATGACGAGCATATGACTAAACCTTTAGTGGGATAGGCCAGACTCCGGTGATATTTTTATTTCTATTTAATGTCATCCTTTTTCATTTCCAATAAACTTATTTTCTATTTTTCTTTTTTCTCCTCATATGAGATGAGAATAAAGATGAAAAATTCAGACAGGAAGCCTTTGTCCAGTACAGGCATTCCCACCAGAGATATTCAGGGCTCTCCTCCCCTTTCCAGAGGCCTACTTTGTCCATATAGATCTTCAATAGGAAACTGTTTTTTACAGTGTTTTAGCCTGTATCTGAGCCCCAGAGAACATTACTTGCTTTGTGGTTCTCGGCAGTAACATGGGCAGTCTTAATTCCAAGCATCTTTTGTGTTGGTACCATCCTCCCTGAGCGTCACGAGGTGGCAGCACAACAGAAGGGCTTGCAAGGGCTGCTCTTACATCAGGCAGCCAAAATCTCACACACCTGCAAGTACACAGTCCATTTTCATTAGAGTTGTAGCTTCCATTTCTTTTCCTGAGACCATCTTAAAAAGTGAGACAGTAGAGCATCATGGCACAAAATAAATACACTCACCTTCCTGTTTAGGTGCTTTCAGCTATTTGAACATTTATAGGATTACATTTTCACACTCCCACCAGCCTCTGGAATGGACAGGTTTTAGCTGGGCACCCAACAGAGAAGCCACTTAGAAAGCAGTGGTGTACTTTGACCTTCTCACTTTATGGACACAGCTTATAAAATTGTCAGCATGTAGCAGAGCAGATAAAAGATTGTGGATGAAAAATGGAACTCTGGGGGAAGCAAATTACTTTCAAATTGTGTCAGCATTGGCAGAAGAAAGAAAACATAAGGGATATTTTTATTTTAAAAGTGGGTTTTGATACTCTCAAAACTAAACTAGCCCATGTTTTGTTTTGGAAAGGCAACTTTTCATTTAAACCTTGAAAAAAAATATTAGTAAGGCTAGATGAAGGATAACAAACAAGAATACACTGAGATAAATTATATTGGTGGGGAGCTCAGGTAGATAATTTTAGAGGGTTATTTGGTTGCTTTTAAGCAAAACAAAAATCTCATTCATAAAACTTTAATGAGTAGGTCAGTTCTATCTAAAAATTCAGCAATACAGAACTTTTCATTGCCTTATTTTTTTTTTTTCACCAGGTTGAAATTCCCTCCAGGAGCACAAGCTTAGGAATCTTGTTAAGGATTTAGAACCATGGGATTTTTTAGAACCTACAGATTTCTGACTTTCAATTAAGTATCTCTATGCAGACTCTTGTGAACAAGATGCTGATTACCAAGCAAAGACAACCTTTAATAGGATAATATCTGCTCTAAAATGAATGATGTTTTAAAATATTACAATTCCTAGATTTTCTTCACCTAAAGGGAATTTGAAAATATTTTTTAAAATATCACGTTTTTTCCATAACATTTTGATCCAAAAATATTCATGGGAACATATTCTCAGATCACACTTCTACATAATAAGAAATATTTCTTGTATTAAGCACATTTGATTGGGAGTTTTTCTTCCGTGCATCTTAAAAAGCTTAGCAGACAGGTCAGTTTTATAGACTTCATTTCACAGGCTGAAAGCAGAAACACTAAGAATTGTAATTATATACCCAGCCAGTGGCAGAGCCGCAAATGATGCCTGGGCCTCCAAAACTCAAGTCTGTAAGTCATTAACAACTCTATTTTAATTTCATTATTTTATTCTTCTCTGCTTAAGATGATTTGAACCAGAAGAAAATGGGTCAGTGTTAAAATAACTACACATTTGAAATTTTTAGCTCCCTCCATTTTTCACCTAGCCTCCAGTTTTCACCCTAGTTTCATTTTGAATCAGATCTGCCTAAATTACTATATTTTTCCCTGAGGCAGCAGGAGGAGATACATTCCTGAGGATGCCAGTTTCAGTCCCCAGTGTCTAAAATATGCATGCACTGCTCTTTGATTCCTGCCACTAAAAGAAAAAAAGCAATATTCATTCTGCAAGGATAGCATTCAAGTTTTAAATAATGTATTTCTTTATCTCCTCTCCCAGCCAAGGACCTCATGTCTTCCAGGCCCATAGGTGACAGATAGGATAAACCACTGCCCAGGTTACAGTGTTTTATGCAGCTGATTCAGGAGGTCCTGCAGCTCCTTGTCAGAGGATATATTGCTGTCATCGTTCTCAAAGGTTCAGGGAAGGCCTGGGGGTGTACAGAACCAGATGAACAAGTGAGAAATCAATAACTTCTCCAGGCTTTCACATCCTACCTGTCTCAGGAATATCAAAGAAGCTCAATCTGGAAAATTTTGTTCGATGATTGGAGCAGACTGCATAACGGTGCAGGTAATACAACTAGAATCAGCGATGTGAGCACAACTGCACAGTTAACTGGGACTTGGTCATGTTAAGAAACTTCATTTTTGAAGTTTGAGATGATTTGCTCACATAATGCAAAATCCAAACAATGTCAACTACCCCAGTAAATTCTGATCCAGCAGGTCAATTAAACATATATTTCAATGTGAAGCTTATGAACACTCTTTCATGATTTAAACTTAACCTTTGAATGTTCTTCTGTATTGGAACCAGGAAATTAAGTTCAGAAATACAGAATATATTTCACAGAGAATTTCTCTGAGAAGAATCACCCATTTAAAAGAGGCAATGATGAAGGAAAGATCTTCCACTGAAGATTTGATTTCCCTGATTTGACAGCAGTAGCAGCCCTCTTAGATCTGTGATGCTCTGAAGGTGATAGTGAGACAAGGGCTAGAGAGAAAAGTAGCATCTTTTTAGATCAAAAGATGTAGCAGCAGAAGAGAAACTTCTAGACAGACTCACCAAAATGTTGACAGAAGGGACCTCTGGAGGTTCCTTTGTCCAGCCTTCTGCTTGGAATGGAAGTAGCACCGAAACCAGACTAATTTAATCATCTTAGAAACCTCTGAAGGCTGACATCTCCCCTGGTCTGCAGGTTTCTATCCCAGTCCTGCATCATCATCCTCCTGGTCAATAAGTTTTTCTGGGTTCCACCCTGAGTTTCTAAGGTCCAAACTTGGGGACATTGCTTTTTGTATTTTAGCATCTGTACTGCCAGGTGTTTGATTTTATACTCTGAAAATGTCCTTTAACTACTTGTGGGTTCATATTAGGTTCCTCCATTAGCCTTTTTGCCAGATTAAGCAAGTCTGTCTCCTTCAACTTTCTTGTAGGAGAGGTGCCCTAGTCCTCCATAGTCTCAGAATTCCTTATTTCACCATATTTCAAACCAAATATAATTTGGGAAAAAGATATTTCTTTGTACCTTAATTGTGTTAACTCTATTTTATTTGGCTGTGGGACACAATTTGCAGTGTCATTGTCATCCTATTTCAGATTGGAAAATATCAGCTAAATCTTGTATGGAGCAGAACCAAATAATTCAACGTCTCTGATCTGCCCTGACACATCCCCAGTAGATATTGCAATGTTTAAAAGATTTCTCCCCGCCTCATCGATAAAGCTATCATCTAGACACAAAATTAAGATGGGCACTGGTTGTCCATACAACTAGTATCCATTCTATATTTATCTCCTTATCCTGTGAAAAGCAAATGCAATCCAATACTTGGAGCCATGCTGTCTCAGTATCCTTATGTTCACCTTCATTACCAAAGGAAACTTTGCTCGCACACATGTTTAGGACTATGGCAACAGAAGGAGTTCTTATCACTAAAGGAGACATATAATTTCTGATACTAATATAATAAGGATAATACCACAAAGACAAAACAGAAGAAAAATAATTAAAAACTAGAAACATACTTTGTCCCCATTCATGAAATCTAGAATATCTGGATTTATAAGACACTTACTGTTCTTAAGAAGGTTCTTGCATTCATAGTCTTACTTTCCTGTAATATATGAAGATGCATCACAAAACATGTTTGGAAATTTTTATCAGATCGTTCAGAACTGTCTATCCTTTTTTTTACCACCTCTTAAATCACACTGCCTAATAGCGTCTCAAAAGCTGAAAATTTGTTAAAGGTTTCACTTCTCATTAGAATAGCACACCTTGATATGATCAGAGATCACTGTTTATAACAAAATCAGAAAGGGCACATCAATGTCTCTGATGTTTGTCAAGTATAAACAAAAAAAGGGAAAGAAATCCAAGTTATGCTTTTTTAATCTACTATGAAAATTAACATACAATTCTCAAGGTGTTTTTACAGGCCACTTATATAAAATATATATTTTTCTTACAGGACACTCTTTCAAATAAATTTGGATTACATTAAGGTATTTCCAATAGTAGTAGGTGAGCTCTTGCAGTCATCACTGGAGGAGAAAAAATATTAAAGTGTGCCAGGAATATCTCTGCAGGGTAGTTTCTTGTCCCACTGAAGTGCCAGGCAGCTGTGTTATAGGCTTCTCTCAAGCTACAGCTGCTCTCTAGAGAGTCACTCTTACATCCTGAAATCAAAGATTAATTACTCCTGACCTATTTGTGGAACATGACTAGATGGGAAGGAACATTGACTGTGAAAGAATAAAGACACTCAGAAATTCCCTAGTTTCCCTCTGAAAAGCATTAAAAATTATTGTTGTTTAGTCTCCCTCTTATCCCTCATTCCTGAATATAATTCTGTAAGATCATAGGTCTGTCCTTTCCTAGCAGTCATGATGTGTTTGGCACATTCACTGCCTCCTGCAGTAAGCACTACCCCTGGGAAATCCAAGATGTCATTAGGCTTATGCATTTTCTCACTTTTCAGCCAAATCTAAAGAAATTGGTCCATTCTTTTTCCCTTGGCATTAGATAATCCCCAAACTAAAGTTTTTCCTGAATTACCCTTTTTCCACTCAAAGATAACTTTGAACTTCCAGTTGTTTCCAGAACTGTTCTAGAACATCTACACAGCTTTCTCCATTCTGCATCATCAGTTTACATGGTACCAGAGAGGCCATCTCCAAAGAAGAACAGGAAAATTCTCACTTCATGGTTTGAGTGTTTCTCGGTATAAACCCTAAGACTGCCAGTAAAATCACTGGTTACTGGCAGCTGAGAGGCCTTTTCCACCTGGAAAACCAGCTGGCATCATCAGCATCATGAGGTTTCAAGTGGTGATCACTTAGCCTGTAAGCAAGCGCTGTATCAAACTGACGTTGCTTCTGGTCATTAGATACTTGAAAAGTAGTTCATTTATGCACACATTTCTTGATCAGAATTCCACAGTTCCTGAATATATAACCATTCAAACTTGCCTTGCAGAAGAAATTTTGCTGCAGTTATTGATCTCAAAATGCTCACGATGGTCTTTCCTTGTTTCTCTGGACCCTTTTCCATCAACTCTATTTTACAACATATTAGAATAGATTGCAATTTTGGTTACAGTCTAAATAAACTGGATCTGAAATTCAGTGGGGCCAAAGTCCAGCGTGATTTGATCTTGGGCCTTGATCCAGGTGCATCATTCTGATGAGCAAAGAAAATGTTATCAGTCAGCTAGTTACAACAAGTCCTTGGCCTGCAGATGGAAGCAGAAGATGAGGAGGAGGAAAAAAGGATATACCGTGTGATAATTGGTAGGTGACAACATGCTGTGTGTGCAGCCTGGGGAAACAGAGATCCATTCAATCCGCCTCACAACAGCTTCAGCAACTTCACTGGCCCACGCACTCTTCCGTCTCAAGAACCCGCCGTGTTTCATAGCCTCCAGTCATCAGCCTTGGCGCCAACACATGAATCATATCTTCTGTGAGTGTCCCCACTGCGGTAACTTATTATCATCCTCTGCAGTTAGATTGCATTTGCCAATCCCAGATCTCAAAACACTGCATTAATATAGACAAAACCTGGGATTTAATATCTTGCTTGTAGCCATGGGAAATCAGCTGTCATTAAGTCAAGAGACCTCATCTCCTCATTCTCCTTAAGCTTCCTAATCCCTAGGTCACATCACCTGTCTTCATGTTGTGTGCTTAACCATCAGTGGGGAACACTTGTGATAGACAGAAGAGTTCTTCAACTTTCCAAAAAGGCAGCAGATAATTAATAGCCACACTTACTTTTAGATTCACAGAAGAGTCACATAGTAGCACTTCTCCAGTACATGGTTAGTCAACTGATTCCTATTTTCTAGCCTACTGGATGTTTAGTGCTCTACAATAGACTTCCATTCTGGATTTGACCAAGCAGAGGTATATAACTATGGGAACAGTGGTTTGCAACAACTGGTACACGTTGTCACTTAGGTATCCCAAACCATCAGGGATGCCCCTCTTGACTCAGATCAGTCATAAAAGCCCTATTGCCTACAGCCCAGCAGTTTCCTTAGTCGCTCTGAGAAGCCTGCTAAACGGGACCCTTAGAGCCCAGCTCTGGAATAGAATGACCAGCAAACCCCCTTTTCTCCCTAAGGGAAAGAGAGGGAGAACACAGCAGGGCAGGCCATAGTCCCCATAGTACTTGAATGAAGTAAGGAGGCAAGATTTAGAAGTGGCCAGGTTCAACCAGAAATCATGTTCATCAAACACATTTATGATAATGAAGAAGCAGGTCTAGAGTCAAACTAGGGAAACACACCACAGCTAAGAATGAGAATTATGTAGAATAAAATTACCAGTACTAGACACAATTTTCCAATTACTAGGTAGATTCACAACATTGAGGGAGATGGAAGGTCTAGCTGAAAAAACAGAGATTATCCAGAGACAATAATCCAAATCCATCCATCACTACAGTGGCACTGAAGACTAAGAGTCTTACCAGATAGTTTAAACTGGATACAAAGCCCAAACCTGGCTTAAATAGAGATCCTGGGCCTATGGGCAGAGGGTGTGGATGGTGACCATATGAAGTGTGTTAGAGCCATTAAAGCTATTAATGCACTTCAGGATCACAGGTTTCTCCCATCTTTGCAGAGTGTGCTTACATGGGAAAACATCTCTGCTGCTGGGAGGGAAAGGAGCTGTTAAACTCACAGAGGAGAATTAAGGAAAATACAAACCATTGAGAGAACTTGTTCCAATTATTTTCCTTAGTTTAAGCAGTTCAGTATAGAAGCCTTAGGAATTAAGCATTCCCTTACTGTCTAGCTCTTTCTAGAAACTTGTGCTACCTTTCTGCTGGATCTACTCTTAGTGTTTTTTTGAGGAACTATTTCTCTAAATTTTCACACCAAAGCATTGAAGCTGGTGTGGAACTACTTGCTGGAGATGATTGTTTTGTTAGGTTTTGTTTTGTTTTTTTTTTCTCTCAGCTGGCTTGTTTGTTTTGATTTTTCTTTTCTTTCCTTGGTAAGCAGTTTGTTTCCCCCAAATAGTGTCTGAGAATTTCAGACCTGAACTTCAGACCAATACTTAAATGGGGGGGGAAAAAACCCAACCCCCACTTTCCTAGTCTTTAAAAAATCATTTAACTTATTTTTATACTTTGAAAATTGTTTTAAGAAGGGCAGAAATTTTTAAATCTAAGCAAAACAGGGACAAATTGAATGTTTCTATTGAATGTGTCTATTTCCATTGAGTATTTTTTATTTAACAAGAAAAACTTAGAAGTTAACATTTAGTGTTGAACTTGGCTTGAATGTTTTCATTTGACTCATAAACATGATTATTATATTATTATATTATTTATATTATATAGGTCACATTATATAATTTTTTTCCCAGAGGGGAAATCAAGTTTTCATGGGAAGTGACTTAGAAGGACAAAGTGTTTTGTGCTTCCCATGAGGTTAGAAGTTCAGTCAGCTTTATCCCTTTTCATGTTTACTGTACACACCTTTTGTATTCCTGCTCAAATTGTAAAATGATATACATAAACACATCAAAACAGACAGGAATTGCTAAAAATATGGACAGAAAAAGAGTTCTATTAAATTGTTGGTTGGAATGACTTCTTGATCCAGGGTCTCAGGTTGGACAGAAAGGCAGGAATGCAACACCCTCTGCTCATGCTCCTTTTGGTTATTCACAGTAGCAGGATGCTTGCTTGGTTTGCTGGCCAAGGGATCTTCCTTCGCTGTGCTGAAACCCAGCCAAAGCAGATGATTAGTGGGGAGATAACTGCAGGAAGCTGTGTGTTCAGAACTGAGACAGTAGTTCAGATCCCACTTCTATCCTTGCTTACAGGTGTGTAAGTTTGGGTTCATGCCACTGTGACCTCAAAGATTTACAGTCACTTATGAGCTGCCGGTTTCACCAGCAACTAAAGGCCCAAAACATCTTAGCCATTGTTGCAGTCTGCACATTGAGAAATACAAACTCTGTAAAGAGACAGAGAACCTTTTCCAGTATTGGAAATACAACTTGATAGCCAGCATTCAATATCCAAGATATGATAGATCTTGGAAGAGGAGAAAACTGCCAGTCTCAGATGCCTTTTGTCGGTACAACCCAGCAATACAAACCTTCAGGGTGAAGCTGCAGGGCATGTACACTGCTAGGGAAGTATTTACTCCTTTTTGGTACTCACCAAAAGGAACTGCTAGGTGGATGGAGCTACGAGCAGTCCAGTGTCAGGTTGTGTCCATTACTCAGATGCAATTATCATTCAATTATCTATTTATATTTTATAGATACTATTGAATAGTTTCTATCTATTTCAACAAACATTTATCCTTTCCTCCCCTTCATTACTGACTGCAGAACTGCAGACTTGCCTCTTTCCCGAGGAAAGGGTGAGGGTGAGCTTAGCAAACAGTACAATTAAAAATGATGGGCGCTAAAATGTAATGTAATGTAAAATGTAATGAAGACATTCCTTTGTGCCCATCCTGCCAGTGCAGTCGAGAGAATTTTCCGCTCGTCGTTTCTCCCGTGGCTCCCCGGCTCCCACCGGGATGCCTCCCCGGGAGGGATGCAGGGCACAGCAGGTGGCCTAGCACGCCTCTGCCCTCAGGACCAGCGCACTTGGTATTTCTTCCAGCGCAGAAGAAATCCCGCTGAATCGGGTTCAGCTCACGATCAGATCCTTGTCGAGCGCAAGCATCTGTTGAGCGCACGGCACCGGAGGACGCCGCGGCTCGGGAGCGGGGCTGAGCGCGGCTCCCTGGAAGCGGCACATTGATCACACGGCCGCGTGGCCAATTAGCGGCAGGAGCCAGGGCCAGCCCTCGTGTCTGCGCGCTGCTGATCTATCGGCAGTAATTACCGAGACACTTAATGCCTAGTTTGGATGGGAATTAATTCGAGGCCGGATAAATAATGCATTAGGGTTTATTTAGTCCGGCGTGAAGCGTCGCCCCCGAGCCAGGGCTGGAGCGGCGAGCGGCGGCGATGCGCGGGGCGGCGGCCGGGGCCGGGCGCTGAGGCTGCGGGCAGCGCCCAGCCGGGAGCATGCTGAGCCCCAAGATCAGGCAGGCCAGGAGAGGTGAGTGTGCGCCTCGCGGGCTGGGGACGGAGACCATCTGCGGGCACGGGGAAACTTCGCGGCGGTGGCGGACAGCCTGTACCGCTGCCCACGGAGCGTCCCCCGCCCCGGCTGCAGCGGCTGCTGCCCCGCTGGCCGAAGCCGGCCCTGGGGAGGGCAGCGGAGTGACTGTTCGGGGAGAATGGAGCCTAGGAGGAGGAGACCTGTGCTGGTGTTCGCCGGCGTGGTCTGCAATCACTGGGTTGAGCAGCAGGGATAAATTAAAAAAAAATTGTACTCTGTCCTGGGACTCAACATAGCCTTTTCACCCCTGTGCTGGTTGCTAATGCTGTGTTTCTAACGCTGAAGTCATTCTAAAGGCTGGAGACAGGTGTGTCTGGTTTACCTGCAGCATCTTGGAGAAGCAGTTTGCTGTAGCACGTTATCTTTGCAGGGCTGGATGCAGGAGGTGGAGATATTCGTTGTGTGAGCTGTGGGCAAGACAAAAGGAAGGAAGGAAAACCTACCCTGGGTTTGCAACAGATGTTTTGAGCAGTCATTCGGAGCTGTGAGGTGTAGTGTGCCATGTTTGTAAAACAGAGGGCTGGGGCTGGGCAGAGCCGTTGTCTCGATGTCACCTGGAAGAGATGCTCCGGCAGGGGACGCGTTCTGTGATCTTCAGGGGCAGCACCAGTTACTCATTTGACATGGCATTCGTAAATCATCATTTCCACTCACAAACTAATGACTGTGTCAGAGGGATATCTTCCTGCCCATGGGAAACAGATTAGATCGTCATTTAGGAGCTAAAGCAAACACTGTCAGAGGAATATGTAAAGATTAGTATTTTCTTCAGCCATACCAGTATTGTCAAATAGGAAAAGTATCACTGCTTCTGTGATTCCAAGACAGGTACTTTCAGCCAAATGTCGCTGCATCATATAATGAAAGTCGTATTACGTGATGTACGGTCCTTAAAATACCAACAGCCCATTAAATAGCTGTTAGCATCTTGGAAAGAAGCAGATTCCTGCCATCTGGAGGTGTCAGGATCAGATATGTACTGCCACACCCACAGTAAAGTCATAAGTATTTATTTTTTAGTTACACAATGTTGTAGAAGTTCAGCAAGTCTTTTGTAGATGCTGCCTCTTTCCCACCCCCCTTCTAAGGGATGCGTTTAATGTATGTGTTATCCAGCATTCCTGGTAGCTATTACAGGTCTGATGAGACAACCTAGATGATGCTACCAAGGTAGCATCACAGGAGGGCTGTATCATGTCTGCCATTCTTCCACTTTCTTCAAATCACCTGGAAGATGCTAATTTGTGTATTAATATACATTGAAATCTAGTTATGGGGCACACATTCTAGATCCCTAGGGGCTACTGATACTTAGGGGACAAACTATAGTGTACCTTTGTGATTCAATTTTGATTTATAGCAGTATGTGTCATTCTCTATGGGTTTGTTCTCTTTAGTTCATTAACTGTGCATAGGTAAGTTTATTTCTGAATGAATTTAGAACTCATGAAACGAGCTGCAATGCTGGAAACTTCAACAATTAGTTTTGCAATGCTGTGACAAAGCACTGGTAACCTCTTGCAAAGCTTACCAAGTCTTGCAAAGTTCTTCTATAGCTCTTCTTCACAGGAACTGTAAACAGGCCATGCTGGAGATGCTGAATGCTTCTTGAAGGTAAGTGTCCCACCTTGCAGGACTGAGCTGAATAGGAAATGGCAGTTCATGCTCTCAGTTCATGCTTCCTGGAGTCTCAGTTGGGATTGCTAATGAAGATTCAGGTGATAAACAGCGGACAAGAAAAGTATCCAGAAGGCTGCAAGAATGTTCTGTGTACAGCGAGCATCAACAAGGGCAGCTGATCTGCTGCAGGCTGCTGTATGAGTTTGGCTGACTTTTCAGAGTAGTGACTGTCAGCTCTGCCACTGAGGACTTAGTTGTGGAAGGGAGTCAACGTGACTTCTCTGAGCAGACGGATTGGAGAGCAGGGACAATGAGGGATACTCAGGGTACAGCCTGTGGTTTTACTTGAGTGTGACAGAGGACAGCAATGTGGCTGAATCTAGGGATAGACATTCAGGTATTTGGAGAGTTCTTGAGGTTCAAACCCCTATGTGTGTGTGGCTAGCTAGCTCATTGCTTCAGGCTCCCTGTATTTGTGCAAGCAGGAGAGCTTCATCTACTTCTTTTTTATTTCCAATTCTCTGCTGAGAATGTACCTTTAAACAGTGAATTATGATGTCTGATGCTTTCGTTTTTTGTTTAGCTTGTAGATTGTCCTTAAGAAAGCTTCGTGGGTTTAAAGACATTCAAGCTTTTGAAAATGCATGGTCTGAACATGAACTTGACAATCCAGGGTGTAGTTCCTAATGTCTGTGAAAAGGACGGTAGAGAACGAAGATAATTTGCCTTACTAAAAGTAATTATCAAGTATAAGGCAGACCTTGCTGTTCCACCAGCAACCTCACATCTGAAGCTCTGAAATATGTGTTCAGAGGTCCATGTTCTTTTCATAACATAGGAAGGTGTAGAATCTCAAAGATGGAAAATCTTAATGTGCATAAATTTGCTTTCTGGAAAATCATTCATTCTGGCTAGGTCTGAATGGATTTTGTGCTATTTTTTCAGCTATAGAGTTCATGCACAGCAATTGGTGGAGTCCAAGATCCCAAAATAAGTGACTGCAATGGAAACATCTATTTTCACATTCTTCTTATGTGATAGGGCATAGAAATATAGCCTGGCAGGGTGGAAGCAAGAGAACTTTCTGTATAGATTGGAGGGAAGGCAGTTTTCAGACTACATCCTTCAGTCTCAAGGAATGCATTTTTGCTTCATTGTTTTTAGTTTTTAAGAGATTAAAAAAATAAAGCATTTGATTCTTGTCTTGAAAAGTCCCCAAAAGGTTGCCAGCCCAATTGCATTTAAATGTGCTAGAAAATGGAAGCTGGACTGACTAAAGGCTTATGCATTTGTATTTTAATGAGTGATGTGATTGCCCTCTATAGAAAGAGAGTTAGCCTGCTGCCATGATACATAATTTACAGTCTTCCTGTCTTCAGCACAGTCTGTCTCAGTTGTAGAGGCCCTATGGATAACTCTTCTTATTAGGACTTTGTACTTTTGGGTGGTACTGTGACCTATTATTTTTCTTTGTGACATGTCCATACATATGTTACAGTAAGAAAATAAGAAAATTTTCCTTATGGTCATAATAATAATTTTTTTTTTAAAAAAACTTCTTTTTAAACTTTAAAAAAAAAGTTTAATTAAAACTTGGAGTCTGGAAAAAATGACGTGAGACATTTTTGGTTAGCCTGGTGCAAATGTACTGATATCCTTCACATGCCTGTAGTAGAACAGTTATTTTCCTCATGCTGTGTGAAGAGCTATCCTTTCACCAGCCAGTAAAAGATGGAAGAGGGGAGTTCTCATGTGCCTGGTGCCCATCACCAAATACCAGCTTAGCACCTGCAGCCCCAGCTCTGCACAGCGCAGCACTGGTGTCTCCTCAGCCCCACCCTTAGCTCTGGTTTGAGAGGCTGGTGCTGTACACAGCTATCCCAGAGCACATGGGAGCAGCACCTTGGCACCTCCAGCCTAACAGGTAAATGGTAACACCCACTTTCTTAGTCCTGTAACCAAGGTAAACAGCCCTGAAGCTGTGACTCCTCCAAACATTTCCTTCAGTCCTCAGAGCCCACCAACATTGCAGGGAGCACACGAGGCGCCGGGGTGGGAGGAATCAGAGTGGCTTGTGCAGCTGGCAGAGCGGAGCCACCATTAATGAGGAGCCCACCTGTGAGGGGGCGATTCACTACCCCACATCCTCTCATGGGTGACTCTTTAAGGCAGGAGAGGCAAGCTTGGAAGCTCTTCTCTGGAAACATATGTGGGTAAAAGGCAAGGATGAGGTATTGGTAAGTATGATTTAGTTTCTAGCATGGTTTGATGGAGGAAGACGTCTCTGACATGGTAGAGAGCAAGAGGAGGTGGTAGTAGAGCTGCCTGCAGCATGAGCCTGGGTTTTGTCATGTTGCTTTGGAGGTGCTTGAGATGAAACTGCTGAGTTAAACTTAAAATCCTAAGGCAGGAGTACAGTGGCTGTGGAGGGAGGCTGGAGTTGGTGCAGTATTGGATTAACTGCCCTGAAGGCAGTGTGAAGAAATAGGACCAGGCTAAGTGGTCAAATAGGGGACAAGTAAACTACGAGGGTCCCTTCTCACTGTGTGCAGCCTGAGGGAGGTGAATGAAGCATGGAGTTACTTTTGTTCCTTGGTATCGGGTCAGGTTCCTAGCACTGTGCTGCTCTGGTGCAGGGGTGTATGGCAATGCGCTGTGTTATAAGCTCTGGTCTCTAATTTTTTTTTGTCTCTTTTGTTCTGATTCAGTGGCCTTGTGCATATAGAGACAGGGTCAGGAAAGTGATATTTGTGGGGTTCCTCCAGAGACAGGTTCATGTTCTCACTCTTACTGGGTGGCATGTCCCATGCAGAAGGACTTGAGTTGTTCAAAGGTGTAATCCTCTCATCTCTGTAGAGATACCCCTCTCCAATTGGATTCATGGTGTATGCTGGAGTAATTGGTGCTCTTGGCAATAGCAGCTTTCTGTCCTTGCCTGAAGGCTCAGGCAGGCAGTCATTCTCCTTAGAAAAAGCCCTGAAAAGTTTGTAGCCAGGCACCAGCTTATTAAGCACAGGCAATCTGAATTTGAAATAATGAACCATAGCCTCACCTCCTGGGGAGGGAAAGGGGCATTGAGAAAGAGCAGTATAATTCAACTCTAAGGGCAGCTGGACTGCTGGGGAGAGCACTTGTGGGGAGGGAATTAAATATTAAAAAATCACAAAGCCATAGGCTCTCTAATTACTAATAGAACATCACTGAGGGAGTACAGGGTGAAAGTGACAGTCTGTGTGTAAATAGCATAGTGGAAGGGCTACAATGCTAGCACCTCTCCCGAGAGGACAGCCACCTGCACTTTTACTACCTGTAAAAAT